GTACCTAAGTTCTTGAGCTGAGGCAACTTTGGTGATGATGGACACGTGGCCTTTGGCACGAGTCATGGGTTTCTTAAATTTTCCTAAAATCAAATATTTAGGTGGCGACTCTGTATCTGGCAAAGCAGTCTAATTTTGGCATTTTTGATCCTAAAATCAGTTTTCCAAAATGATTTGCTGGATTTGGACTCTTTGGTGTTTATCAATTTCACATTGCACTTGTGAGATTAGATTCAGAACCACGTGAGTCCAAACTATAGGGCTTTTTTTCAAGTTACCGAAAGGGGGCACGAAAAAGCCGAGCTACACACAAACCATGAAACAATAAATTAGACACCATTTTTATGTAAAGTTATTTGGATATTTACCAATAAATCTCATCTCATAAACAAGTACTCCAATTAATCCTAAGTTTTTTCTATTGATTTGTTAAGTCCTATTAGTGGAGAGTTTCTTTCCGCATGGTCTTATTTTTTTATTTTGGTAGTATTTTGGTGGACAACTATACCCTTTTTATTAATGTGATAGGTATGATGTAATACTCTAATGTGGCAAGTAGTATGAATGTGACACTCTAACGATGTAATAGTCCAAAAAAATTTAAAAACTCCTTAGTTTACTTTTCCTAAATGTGACAACGTGACGGATATAATGTGACACTTCAAAACTTTTACTCCAAAAAAATAAAATAAAAACTCCTTAGTGTAATTCTCCTGAATGTTACAACGTCGTGGGTATGATATGACACTTCAAAAAAAATAAAAATTACTTATTGTACTTTTCTCAAACGTGACAACATGACGGGTATAATGTGATACTCTAAAAAAATTTAAAAATTCTTTAGTGTACTTTTTCCAAATGTGACATGTGATACTCCAATGTGACATGCATGATGTGACACTCTAAAAAAATTAAAAACTCTTTAGTGTAATTTTTTTTTTCAAATGTGACACTCTAACGTGACAGATATGACGTGATACTAAAAAACTCTTTAGTATACTTTTTCAAATGCGACACTTCAATGTAGCGGGTAAATAAATCATTATATATTCAAAATGACTAAATAAATTACAAAAATAAAAAAAAAATAAAAAAATAAAATGTAAAACTATATGAATTATATATCCAAAATATGAATCTTATTAGTCAATCTCCTTATGTCTGTGAATTTTTTTTTTTTCAGCAATGCTAGGTATCATGAAAAGTCTTTCATGAAAATAGTCATGAAAGATTTGTGACCTTTGGATTACACTTACAATAAAACACCACACACTAATCAAGGTAATCTAAGGATCACAAATTTTTCATGATCCTTTTCATGACAAATTTTTCATGATCTCTAACATTTCTCTTTTTTTTTTCTTACTCAAATAATGAAATAAAAGATCAACCATTAGAGACGCCAATGCATTTAACGGACGTTGTGGTCTTCAATCGTCATCCCGAATGAGGTAAGCCTCACTCTACTTAAGTACTGCACTGCTCTTGCTGTACCGCCACAACAAAGGAAGTTCAGCCTATTTCATCTCCCACTTCAACAATCCCTCCTCCATCAACATAGCTGTACGTACCACTCTCCTGCTTATGCCCATTTGAAGCTAGCTCTCATCTCTCTCTCTCTCTCTCTCTCTCTCTCTCTCTCAAAGATGGCTGACCGGAAGCCTCAGAACAATGGCTTTTCCGGCCAAACCCAGACACATATTCCAGCTTTAGATCCACCGCAGAAACCAAAACGAAACAAGTATGCTTTTGCCTGTGCCATTTTAGCTTCCACGACTTCCATCTTACTCGGTTATGGTAAGTTTTATCATTCAAACATACTCTAAATGCTTTTCTGTTTCTTTTTCTTTTTCCCGGGAAAATTATGGGAAGAAAGCTAAAGAAATTTACGGGTGATGATGATGTGCAGATGGTGGGGTGATGAGTGGGGCAGCACTCTTCATCAAGGACGACCTCAAAATCTCCGACGTCCAGCTGGAAGTATTAATGGGCATCATGAGCCTCTACTCCCTCCTCGGCTGCTACGCCGCCGGCAGAACCTCCGATTGGGTGGGCCGTCGGTACACCATCGTCATCGCCGCCGCGATATTCTTCGTCGGTGCCATCCTGATGGGCTTCGCCACCAACTACGCCTTCCTCATGGTGGGCCGCTTCGTCGCCGGCATCGGTGTCGGGTACGGCCTCTTGATCGCCCCCGTCTACACCGCCGAAGTCTCAACCGCCGCCTCCCGCGGCTTCCTCACCTCTTTCCCCGAAGTTTTCATCAACGCCGGTACTATTTTATTATGTCCTCTCTCTCTCTCTCTCTCTCTCATACACAATTTATATATACATTTACACAAAAGCTTGTAGGTGGGTTGCTGGGATATGTATCAAACTATGCGTTCTCGAAGCTTCCACTTCACTTAGGATGGCGATTCATGCTCGGAATCGGAGCGATTCCCTCGGTGTTCTTGGCGTTGGGGGTCCTCGCCATGCCGGAGTCGCCACGGTGGCTCGTTTTACAAGGCCGGCTGGGAGACGCCAAGCGAGTTCTGGACAAGACCTCCGACTCCAAAGAGGAGGCTCAGCTGAGGCTCGCCGACATCAAGGAAGCCGCCGGAATTCCAGTGGAGTGCAACGACGACGTCGTTCCGGTGCCGAAGCGCAGTCATGGCGAAGGTGTCTGGAAGGAGCTCGTCGTCCACCCGACGCCGACCGTCCTCCACATACTGATCGCCGGTGTCGGAATTCACTTCTTCCAACAAGCGTCCGGCATAGACGCCGTCGTTTTGTACAGCCCCAAAATATTCGAGAAAGCGGGTATAACTAGCAAGTCAGATAAGCTACTCGCTACGGTGGCCGTTGGATTTACCAAAACTATATTGATTCTAGTGGCTACGTTTTTACTGGATCGGGTCGGGCGAAGACCGTTACTTTTGAGTAGCGTTGGAGGTATGATCCTGTCCCTCGCAGGTCTAGCTGTGTCTTTGACGATCATAGATCACTCGGAGAAGAAAGTGGCGTGGGCCGTTGCTTTGGCGATCACGGCGGTGCTATCGTTCGTCGGAACATTCTCAATTGGGATGGGGCCCATCGCATGGGTGTACAGCTCAGAGACTTTTCCGTTGAGGTTGCGGGCACAAGGGACCAGCATAGGAACAGGTATGAACCGACTGATAAGTGGGATCATATCGATGACTTTTATCTCTTTGTACAAAGCGATCTCGATAGGTGGGGCCTTCTTTCTCTTCATGGGAGTGGCCATTGTTAGTTGGGTATTCTTTTACACGCTGCTCCCAGAAACACAGGGTAGAACTCTCGAGGAAATGCAAGTTTTGTTTGGTACCTTCTTTAAGTGGAGATCGACTCTCAGAGAATTGGAGAAGAGCAAGAAGATTAAGGATAATGATAACAGCAATGGTCAGATTCAGTTGGAAACTACTACTAACAGCTAAAGTTTAGGTTTTGTTCATGATACTTTTGTTAAAAACGTGTCTTTTTAGTGTCGTTTACATGAAGATTACTATGTCTATTATCCCTTTGGTCTTCCTTGTTTGGCTTGAAAGAAAAAGTGAAAAAGTGGAAAAGTGATAAATAATGAGAGATGGGAGCTGAAACAGATGAAGTAACAAGAAACTTGGGATATTTTAGAATTTTCAAAAGCTTACTAATTTCCCCAAGTAAGAATGACGATTGAATTGAAAAAAAAAAATAAATAAATAAAATGAAATAATACTATGAGCCCACTTTAGGTACTTTGAGTTTATCTTGAATGAGTGTTTTATGGTTGAAATTGAATTTATTTATTGTAAAATTTATATATATAAATTTGAACTATGAGATTATAATTTTGAGTAATTAAGTTGATAAAAAAATTAAATTTGAAATTTTTTGGAAAAGTTGCACTTACATGAATATTTAAAAAAATATTTTTAAATTAATAATAAATTTGATAAATATTAAAATATAAATTTATAAACTTTTTCTTGTAATAGTAATTAATTTTTTGAAAAGTCACTCACACGTGATTTTTCAAAACAAAATTTGTACGTAGCCAAGTTTGCGTAAGGATCCTCTAGAGTTAAACTCCTAGAGTGAACTCCTAAAGTGTAAGGATCCGACGGCTGATAATAGAACTCACCAAAACGACATTGTTTTGGTGAGTATTTTGACGAAGAGAAAAATAAAAATAAAAAATTCAGATTCAGGGGATTTCAAAATGAAACAGGATTTGAAATTTTTTTCTCAGCTGATTTTCCTCCGTTTTTCCACCAAGCAAACAGAGGTTACCGGCGGATAAATTCAATTCAAATCATCACAAACAAAACAAATACTACAGATCAAACTGCAAAAATGTGTTTAACTTTCAAAAATTACATAACAGAATCACTAAAATCATTAAAAAAAACTCAAATCTAAGCAATAATTTATAGAAATTTCATCAATCACAATCGAATCTCAACAAATTCACTTATCAATCGATCCAAATACGGAAAGACATATCCCCACACACACACACACATACATATGTAAATGAACAAGAGAGAGAAAGTAGAGAGAGCGAGAGAGAGAGAGAGAGAGAGAGAGTATACGAGATGAACAGGGGCCTTGATGTGCTTGACGAGAGCCGAACTGCATTGATTGTCGACAGTCTGGTGCTTGTGGTGCTTCCGAATGTACTCTGTCTCCATACATCTAAATCCATTAGCGTTATTCATAGCTTTCTCCTTCAACACACACACACACACACACTCTGTCTCTCTCTCTCTCTCTCTCTCTCTCTCTCTCTCTATCTCTCTCTCTCTAACACCTCCGATCGGCGAAGAACTAGAACAAACTCCGACAAACTAGTTCGATTCATTTATTGGAGTCAAGAGTTGACTCAGAAGCCTTGGAAACTCACCGCCATAGCTATAATAGTAGCAGTAACTTCATTACCAGAAGCAACCTGGGCCTTTTGTTGAGAGTGAGAAAGGTTTGTTTGTTTGTTTTGTTTTTTTTTTTCCTTTTCAAAATACTTACCAAAACGATGTCGTTTTGGTGAGTTTTATTCTCAGCCGTCGGATTAAGCACTTTAGGAGATCACTCTAGGGGCTTAACTCTAGAGGATCCTTACGTGCCAAGTTTGGTATTGGTAGTTGTCTTGGTACTTTTATGCGTTTTTATATTTTATGATATATTAATGGATTGATATATTTTCATATTCATATCTCAATATAAAAAAAAAATTGATAGGTTTGTGGAGTCCATCATGGATGTCATTTTGATGATTCAAATCGTAGAATTTTCAATGTATATTATCCATAAAAAAAAATAATTCAACTCGATAATCATAATATTTTTATTTTATCGTATTTTTTTTAACAAATTAGATAATTTATTTTTAAAAATATATTTATCGTTTATTTTACGGAGAGAAGCAACAAAGTGAAAATAATTTATATAAATGTCAAAAATATTACATACGTACAAAAAAGTTAAAAAGATTCTAAATATTAATAATTAATATCACATTGTTTTCACTAATATATAATAATTTTTTTTTAAATCTCTCTAAACAATAATTTTCTCTAATATTTATAAGAATTTTGCATCCGAGTATCAAAAAGCCTAGGAGCATAGAGGATGGAATACAGAAACTAAACACAGAAACTATTTACCGGTTGTCTGCCCGAACGACTGAGCAGAGCTATCAGCCACCTGCCAACAATAATTTTCCCTAATATTTATAAGAATTTTGCATCCAAGTATCAAAAAGCCTAGGAGCACAGAGGATGGAACATAGAAACCAAACACAAAAATTGTGCACCAGTTGTTTGCCTGGACGACTGAGCAGAGTTGTCAGCCACTCGTCGTCGCTACCAGCCACCAACAATTTTTTCCAACTACTTTCTCAATGTGTGTGCTTATTACCAAAACACATTAAATCTTGGACGAAATAGCATATGATCTCATAAGAATGGACTTTTCACCAATTAACTTTATTTATAATAAGTCGCTAATTTGTTTTTTAAATTAATATATATATATATATATATCATATTTTATCACCATTCTTGGTATGTACTCAAGAGATTGTGATCCTCTCTTATCCAACAATAAGTGCAATAATTTTTTTAATTTAAAATTATTATAAATTTATATGGGGCTTTTACTCATAAATTCTATTGTATACACTTATGTCACTAGGTCTCGTCACTTTTTTTTCCTTAATTTATTCCCATTATATAAGTTGTTTGGAAGACAAAATATGTGAGACATTTTTACCTTAATTTTGTGCAAGAGCAAACCTAGGAAGTCATCAACATACTTGTATGGAAACTAATATTTTTTTATGTTTCAAACTTTATAATTTCATATTTTCGATCTATACAGCAATTTTTTATATAAAAAATTTATCGTTTTAAAAACTATTCAACAATATCTAAAAAAACAATATCTCAACTGATTATAAAATTATGTAAAATAAATAATAATAATAATAATAATAATAATAATAAAACTTGTCCCTTGTTTTTTTGGGGTTGGTAAACTTCACACTTGTTTGAATTTGAAAATATGAAAATTTTCACTTTTGAAATTTCACATTTTTTTCAAATGTCACATAGTTTCTCAATTAAACAAAAACAAAAACAAAAACAAAAAATTTAAACTTTCAATTTCTAAAGCAGTGTGAAATTTCACATATTGTAAATGAAAAATAAAATAAATTTCACAATGTCATATTAGGTTGTAAAGATATTTTTTAAAATTTATAATTTTTTTGCTGAATGATTTTTGTAATTTTATAGAATAAAATATGTGAATGTTTACACTTTGTTATGAATAAGAATAATGTGAATATTACTAGTCCGAATTACCTAAAAAAAAAGACTAATGTGAATTGTTTTTTCTTTTTGAAATGTGTGAATATTCACACTAGTTTTTACATTTTCTAAAAATTAATAGTATTTTATTTATTAAAAATATTAATATTCGCATTTATAATTATCACATATTTTAGAAAATTCACACTAAAGAGATTCACGTTATTATCTAACTATGGAGATTTTTTTCGGGAATTGAAATATTTTGATAATATGTATATATAAAATAAAAAAATAAATCGTATTGTAGAAGATAAATTAGATTAGATACTCTAATGAAATATTCTCCTATAAGAGTATCTCCAATCCTTCGTCAAATTTAAATTTGATGAAAAATTGATGAAAACGACACTCCAACAGTTTCGTCAACTTGGTATCAAATTGAAGATGCTTGGAGCCTTTCATCAAATTACTGTAAATAGCTGTTAGTGTAGGACGACTGGACAACCGGACAATTTTCCCCTTGAACATTAGCTTTTTTGCAATTTACATTGTCTAATCGACTGGTCGGACATCCTCCCGGTTGTCCTCCTAGTCAACCGATTATTTGATAAAAATTGAAAATTTTCCATTGGAACGCTCGTATCAAATCGAGTTTTTACTCAAATTTGATGAAAAAAAGAGAGTAAATGTTGGAGATACTCTAATCAAATTATAGATTGAATTAAGATTCTATTACCAAATTTAGATATTATTAAAAAATAATTTTTGATCCTTTTAAAAGCTATAAGACCGAATGAAATTGTAAATTTTGAATATGACCAAATGATATACAAGTTTTAGTTAAGGAATTTACGAATAAAAATTGTATGAATACAAAGTAATCTTCACTCGTATAATCCTGTTGATTAAGCTCGTATTCCTTCAAGTGTTGACGTAATACTTGAGATCACAAATGTGAGCTAACTGGCAGGTGTGTACCGAAAGCCCCTTCGATGCCTAAGTCATCAAGTATACTAAGGATACAAAAGCTCTATGAATGGGAGTATGAATTGCCATACCTAGATAAGAGTTTGGCTCGAGCTTTTGTAGGCTCCACATGGCATAATCCTAGTAGGACTCTAATTTCCCTTAGTAAAGTCCTCCTAGGAATCACATTCCCAAAGGATAATGCATATCCTTTGACACCCTCCTCACTGCAAGCCAAGTGAGATGGCTTAACTCTTTGCTCGGTTAGCGCAATTGACCGAGCTAATTTCACCCTATTTGCCACCAATAATATCGAACAACACGCCTTGCTGTCCTAAGTAAGGGTGTCCGCGGATCGGTTTGGGATGGTTTACGGTTCGGTTTGGACCCGTCCGCATCTATGTGGTTTGGGAAAAAGTCAACCCGCAACTGCCCGCATTGCGGTTTGCGGTTTATGCGAATAGGGTTTGCGGATATGCGGACAGTTGCGGGTGGTTTGCCGATTGGACTTTTTTTCAAAAATTTATTTTTAAACCTATTTTTTTTTTCCCCATTTTGTCAATATTTATTTTGGACCCTTTTCCTCTCATTTTCTAAAATGTTCCAATATCAATAATTAATGAATTAAAACTTATAAAAAACTTATTAAATAAAAAACACAACAAAATCAATTCGTAACCCAAACAAATCATTCAAAATCTACATTCAACATTAACTTGCATGCATCCTACATTCATCATTCCTAACCCAAATACAAAAAAAAAAAAAAGGAAGTAATTCTTCATTAACTTACATTCATCCAAACTTCATCATGAATAACATCCAATCCAACTTTCAAAAATTCCAATTTCAATTCCATGCATTTGGTTGATGAACCTTGCACAAAAACAAACTAAAAAAATATAAACTTTAATCTTCAATCTTCATAATTCCTTTGAGACAAAAAGTGTAAAAGAATAAAGTAATGAAAAGATAAACAAATGTCTATATATTGCATCTCAATATAGTAAGAAAATGTGTTGAGTATATAAAAAAATTACCAATGAGCAAATGGATATTAGAGATCAATTATAGCATCAACATTATAGGTTGAACTTGAAGATGAGCTTGACTCCAAAGTATCTAATTAGGAGTCAACAAGAGAAGATTAATAAAACTTATATTAGAAAATGAACAATATAAATAAAAATGAAAATAAATAAACTCTCATATTACTCGAGTCATATTGCTCAAATTCCTCCATATCATCCATTGCCTTTGGAAGAGAAATTGGAAGGTTGCTTTGAAACCAGTTTTGAGTTCATACAAGAGCTTCAACCATAAAAGGCGAGAGTGAGCTACGAAATGGGTCAATAATATGCCCCCCGTACTAAAAGCCGACTCTAACGCAGCGGTAGAAATAGGCATGGCCAATACATCCCTTGCAAGTTGTGATAACACCCTACATTTGGTTGCATTCACCTTCCAATAATCCAAAATCTCAAATGTTTAATTCTTTGCAAAATGTTCAACCTCGGATAAATATTGTTCCAATTCCGACTTAGATCCAGTAGTGCATCGCCCCTCCAAATATGAATTAAATTGGGAGTCAACCAAAGAATATGGATCATCATCATCATCATCATCTTCCACCATATTCACAACTTCACTCACATTTGGAAGTTTCTCATTTGAAGGATAAAGTGTGACATAATGGCTATACAAACGACTCAAACAACTTTTAACCTTGTCTACCATATCTTCCACCTTCTTATTATCTCCAAGAAATAAATTTGAAAAACAAAACTCCAAGTATGTCATTTTTTTAGTAGGATCGAGAACAACCGCAACATAACAAATTGATCTTACTTCCATCCTCCCAATACTTGCTAAACTTTTGTTTCATAGTCTTTGCCATTGTGCTCAAAGTATCATCCTCCTCCAAAGTTAATTGGTTAATTTTACCTTCAATAACAAACATTTCTTTGTAAAAAGCATTGGAAGTAACAAAGAGAGGGCTCGAAAATTTCTTAGTTGCAAGATAAAATAATTTTAGAAACCTCAAAAAAATTCTACATTTTTTCCAATCCAACTCATTCAGACTTCTCCTTATGCCACCATCAACATCCTTGAAATAAGGTTCAAAGTTGGAATCCATAAACTTCAGTCAGTTAAAAGCCTTCTCATACTTTTCGGCGGCCTCTAACATCAAATAGGTAGAGTTCCACCTAGTTGGTACATCTAGGCAGACAAGAGCTTTTGAATCAAGTTTGAGTGTGGCCGCACACTTCTTAAAAACATCATGCCTATGAGGAGAAGACCTCATATATCTCACTGCAAGTTCAATGTTGGCAATAGAATCGTCTATTTCTTTCAACCCATCATCACTCACAACAAGATATTCCACCAATATTCTCTCAGTCAATGCGACGACGGTTGGTGCTACTACTTGAAGGTGAAAAGAGGTCGAGAGAAGATCGTCAAGAGAACACCAAATAAAGACTTGCACAATGATGACCTTCTTTAGGTGTCTGGCAATTATAAGGACCAAAAGTCCCTGGTACCGGGCTACGACATTAATCACAACAAGGGGAAAGCCAGTATAAGTAGAATGGTTTACTTTTCATATTTTAGTAATTTTGATGCCCCAACGCTGAGCTAACTGTTCTCTTATTTTGTAGATTTGAACCTTCTAAAGGAGAGCTATGCATATGCAAACCAAGATACTCTTCGCTTCGATTGAGATGCTGACAATGGGACTGGACCAATCTACTCATCTTTAAGCTGACCTATCGATACAACAGGAAATGGAAGAGCAAAGTAACAGACTTTCTCTTTGAGCTATCGTCTGAACCAGATCCCAGCCTACTAGAGATCAATATGATTTCCCTAACTGAGGAGCAAGAAATGGCCTAGAAGAGAGTCGTACGAGCCCTCATCACCGACCAAACCTCCATGATGCTTGCTAATGCTTAGATCGAGTAGCGTCCTGCCAAATAAAGGAGGTCGGTCATGATTGCCCTGCTAACAGCTAGGGCTTTCTCATCTTAGCTTAGCAAAAAGGCCCAAACTGTGTCCACTGAGCAGCATTTGGTGGACGAAGAAGACACCGAGCAACAGACTACCAAACTGCTTGACCGTAAAATGCATTTAAAAGAAAGCCAGGCTGAGCGGGGCTACCCTATCTACCCTATAGTGTAGGCACCGACTTTGACCTACAAGGGCTGAGCTGTGACCACTAAAGACTCAGTTTGTGCCAATAAGGGTCGTAATTTGGCTTTCAATCTGGCCAAGAGTCTCTGCCTTCCTGCCGACATGAAGAGGCATGAGTAGCTAACCGAGCTGAAGGCAATTTGGTTGGCCACAAAGTTGTTGGTTCTGGTGATTGTCACACCTCGACTCATTCTCTTACCATCTTTTTATTCAATCTTCCTAACCTCTAGTGTGCTTTGTAGGCCGTGTAGAAGAATCAAGTAGCACGCCAACGTATGCTCAACTTGAGAAAGGTTGTCAAAGCAGCCATTATGGATAACGCTGCCAAGGACGCTAAGCTAAAAGAACTAAAGGCACAACTGGATGAGGTAAGCACTATGTGTGACCAGCTGGCTGATCAAGTATGCACGGTTAAGGAGGACACATAGAAGGCCTTGGCTGACAAAAAGAATAGGTATTTGCGCAAGCTAAATAAGGTCAAGGATACCAAAAACGTTGAGATCAAAGTGCTGGAGAAGAAGATGGAGGATGTCAAGGACTGAGGCTTCGTCGAAGGTGAACAAGCTTAAGTTCAACAATGTGAGGCTACCAAGGATATCTTCTTCAAGTATGGTTGGAAGGCTGCAGTATAGAAGCTTGGCCAGACCCCTGAATTAGAGGTCTTTCTGAATCCACCCCTCACTTTATCCCACGTTGCATGGCGGCGTATGCTAGCGCCGTGCTGCAAAAATTGCTAGAGATGGATGAAGACAGTCCAGCGATCGACAGTCTTGCCTTGGCTGCTGCTAATCAAACATTCCAGCTAACTCCTCTAGCTCAGCCATAAGTGACCAGCAAGATTTCGCTGAGCATCACCATTGACAAGGACGTCACTAACCTAACCATTAAAGATGGTGTTGGTGCCGCGCTAAATCCAAATGAAACCGGCACCTCAACCGAGTTGGGTGATCTTCCCTGTGACCAAGCTATAAATTGCTTTTAGTTTTGCATTTTGTTTTTTTTGTTTTTTGTTTTTTTTTTCTTTTTCTCCTTTTCTTTTGCTATGTAACCGGGTGCCCCACTTTTGTAATTGACTTTCACATTAATGAAAATTATAACTTTTTGCAAGCCCAATGTGTTTTGGCATTACGATCAAGTTTGAATGCATTTTTTGTCGAGCTAATCAGCTTGGCAAAGATTTCAGAGTTGGTTAACCTCGCCAACCCACTTTGTCTGGCTAACCAACTCAATCAAAGAATTCAGAAAGTTGCTAAATCCTACGAACCCACTTTGTTGAGCTATTCGGTCAAAGATTTTCCCCAGAGTTAGTCAATCCTACCAACTCACTTTGCCGAGCTAACCAACTCGGTCAATGAATTCAAGAAGTTGATCAATCTTGTCAACCCATTTTGCCGAGCTAACCAGCTCGGTCAAAGAATCCAAAGAGTTGCTTAATCCTGCCAACCCACTTTGCTGAGCTAACCAGTTGGGCAAAGATTTTCCAAAGAGTTGGTCAATCCTGTCAACCCACTTTGCCAAGTGTAACTGGCTTTTCATGCTCCTCAAAGAGGTTTAGTCTCCTCAGGTACAATAGCCCTACAGTTCGGACTCCCGTGGTTCTGAATTTGGTTTCACAAGTGCAATGTGAAATAGATAAAAAAAAAAAAACAAATGAGAGTCCAAATTTGAAAAATTCTAGAAAATCCATTAATCATCAGAGATACCCAAAATGGACTGCATTGCCAGATTTCAGAGTCGCCACCAAAATATTTTTGAAAAATTTAGAAAATCCGTGACTCGTGCCAAAGGCCACTTGTCTGTCATAACTAAAGTTGTCTCGGTTCGGGAACTTAGGTGTAAGAGAGAAAAATTCATGAATTGAGCACCCCGCTTACCCGATCAAAGATCGGCCTCTACTAATGATGATGTGAATTTTATCAACATTATATGCTCTTGTTCTGATTTTATTATGATAACTTACTATGCGAGGGGCACAAATATAGATTGTTTCGCTTGCTTTGGAAATGACTTAATTTTATGTGATGATTTTATAAGAGTTTTTGAGTGTACACAACTCAAAAGGAAAGAAATGAGCTCGTACATACATTTGATCAAATTCATCCCCAAGGCATTTGAATAGTTCATTTTGAGTAAGGACGTAGCCTCATGGTAAAATGCTAAGCATGGCAACAATCACACACATGAATATGCCAAAGCAAAAAATGCTCACCTAGTACTCCGAGGTAAGCCAAAGAAAAAAATGTAATTAGAAAAATGCATGACCCTATCAATGCACATGATTAATGAAACACATGCAAGAATGCAACTATTAGGTTCAACTTATTATCTCATATGGATTAACTCAAAGCATGCGGTAATGCACGTATTCAAACAAGTAGGAAATGACAATGATATTAAAAAATGATGAACCGAACCTTAATACATGCAAAAATGGATGCAAAGCATGGTAATGATATGAAACAAAAACATGATACTACATACAACCATAATAAGCATATAATAAAAAGGAGAAAGAAATGGGGTTTGGAAGACATACATCAGATATTACACATTTGCCCTCGCACAAGGGGGTCTGAATGTCCTAATTAACAAATTATTACAAAAACAAATGAACTACCTAATTATTACAAAACACGAATGAAAGTGACTAGTTAATTAGAAATATGAATCAAAGCGGCTAATCTAAAGGAATTAAACGAAAGGCGAGGAATCATGTGCGCACGGGCAAGAATATCCTCTGGAAACCCCCTCTGCTCACTGCTAGAATTTTCTTTGTTTTGCTAACAACAGTCCTCTGTGTGTATACTCTAAAGCCCAGCCGAACCACAATGAGGCCTGGTCAGAGCCAATTAAATACGGTCGTGCCTTAGTTTGGCCCAAAAAACTTGTTTTGTTTTGATGAAAAACCACCACTGTCGTTCAAACAAAGTGGTCGGCCACCCTACTGAACTGGTCGGCTGCACAAGATTGTGGCCAGCCAGCCATTGCTGCTGGAGAAAGACCTGTTGCAACAAAACTGGAACAGAGCAAAACAGAAGGTTTTCAAAAGATGTTCATTCTTCCTTCTCTCTCTTACCATGAAAAATTCTCAAGGAGAGAGCAGGTTTCCTTCACAAATTATCAAACATCCCAAGGGTATTTAAATGATGATTAGTGAAGCAACAGGATGGCAATTAATGGATACAAAGCTAACTAAAACTAATTATGAAAGGTGCAATCAAAGACATGGCCAAAACCCACTGACTCTCATGGAAAACAAGACTGAGTGAATACTCAAGCTTAGAGAGAATAGGTTTAGACGGAGCCATTCTTGGAGGCAAAGCTTATGCACAAAAGGTTCCATCATTAGGAAAACCAAGAGGCTCTTCTCCCTACTCATGGAAAATGGATTGAAATCTTCATTTCCATGCTTCAAAGGAACTAGAAGAGAGTCTCTAATAGTCTTGATGAAAGAGCTCTCATATAGCTTAAAGCAAAAGCGATACTAAACTATGTAAAAGCAAGAAATGAAAGCTATGGAGAGATGAGTACAAGCTCATTTTCCTACTCATGAAACATAGATGAAACATCTATTTTCCGTGCTACAAAGAAGGAACTAGAAGAGAGCTTTGCAATATCTTCCAAGAAGAGAGGTAGAAGACAAGATTCAAACTATCTATATAAGCTTTAAACACATATACATAGTTCATATTTAATCAAAATCTACCTAAAACAGTGCTAAAAATGAAAGAAAAAAAGCAAAAACATGAAAATAACAAAAGAGCAATACTAGAGAACAAGCCTATGGAAGGGTGCATAGACAGGCCTTCTTTTCAGCCATGGACATGGCCAAGCTTTCAATTAATACAACGCCTGAGCAGTTGGTGGGATTGGTATTCCCGGGGGGTGCTACACCGACTCTGACCTTCACAAACAAAGAACTACCGCCTGAGGGCTCCGAGCATAATAAACCGCTATACATCTCTGTGGAGTGTAGGGATAATAAGTAGATACCGGTTGTCCTAGTTGATACAGGATCTGCCATAAATGTGTGTTCGTCGCGAACGGCATATGCTATCGGGTTGAAGCCCGTAGATTTTGCACCAACTGCCCAGGTGCTATGGGCTTACGACAACACTAGTAGGAAGGTGATGGGGACGGTGCGAATTAAAACTCAGGTTGGCCCGGGCCAACAAGACATCGAATTTCATGTTCTGGATGTTCCAACCACCTTCAATCTACTTCTCGGACGGTCGTGGCTACACTAGGTGAGAGCTGTCTCTTCTACCCTACACCAGATGCTGAAGTACCCCTACGGGAAGTAGGTAGCAATTGTTTTTGGAAACTCCTCAATACATCCGCCGCCAGAGGTTTCTACACCAGTTTTGGAAATTGAACACGGCGTGGAGGCTGTTTTTCAGTTAGGATTCACCTTAGCTGAGGCTCGGGTTTACAGGATATGCTAGCTGTTGATGAGAGATTGTATGTCAGTACACAATCTGTTCGCCTCATGAACAAGCTTCAACACATGCTCGGGATGGGATTAGGAAGGAGTGGCAGGAAAGGCGTCGCTACGTTGGCTGAAGGGCCACACAACCCGTAGACCTTTGGTTTAGGTTACTCGCCTACCAAGGAGGATTGGGCAAGGAAAGGAAAGCAAATGGCTGGAAGAACCAGGGCTAAACAAGTCGGGAAGCACTATGAGTTAGTGCATAGAACTATCCAAGGGACCCTGAACGGACACTTGTCCGGGAGGGGGAAGATTTCCTGTTTTGCGGCTTTCCAAAGCCATGGCTGAATTAAGAGAGGCGGCACTTGCCGGGTTTTACGATCTTCTTTGACTTACAGTTGTCAGGGGATGAAGTTGTCGAAGAGCAGACTGACCCACCAGTTGTGGTTGAGCAGTGCAAAGAAGATGAGTCCAGTGGCACAGAACTTGAAATGGGGGTAGCACTAGTTTGTCTCCTCTCAGATCCTCAGATCTTACCAAAGTGCTCGGGGGATGATTTCTCAATTTCCATGATTGGAGATAACTCGGCTGTGGGCCCTTCTTCTGGCATTCTGGATGCATCCATCTCACCCTCCCTCGCCTAGAAATACGAGGAAGGCTTTTTATCTAGCAGTTCTAGATCAGATAGTGAATTGGAATCTGATTTCACAAAGTCTGTGGAGTCGGAATCAGATTCCAGGTCTTCTGAGTCAGAGTCTGGTATTTCTGGGGGTGATAACCTGGATGCCCCCGTGTTGTCCAGGTCGTCATTTTCATTTTCTTTTGAGCCGGTTGTAACCGAAGAATCAGACGATCTGGAAGTTAATGAGAATGGTACTGTTATGGCTTTTGAGTACTTTTCTGTGCCTTTAGTTTATTGCATTAATCAGGACTTTCAAAATTTTGCTGAAAACGACGAGGAACAAATTCCTCCGATTTTAAAGCATTTGATTGACCGAGAGCAGGAGAGGTTTGTAAAGCCTTTGGTTGATGAAATCACCTCAGTTAATGTTGGTACTGAGAAGGACCCGTGGCTGGTCCAAATCGGGTCGACGTTGTCTTCGGAGGAACGCGAGCGCTTAGTCACTTTATTAAAAGATTTCAAAGATGTTTTTGCGTCGTCCTACGAACACATGCCCAGAATCGATCCTGAGATTGTACAGCATCAGATCCCTCTTGACCTAGAGGCCCGACCTGTTAAGCAGAAGCTCTGAAAAATTCGCCCGGATTGGGCTCAAAAAATCAAAGAAAATGTCACCAAACAGATTAATGCAGAGTTCCTGTTGGTATCTGAATACCCTACTTGGTTGGCCAATATAGTTCTGGTGCCGAAGAAGGATGACAGAATTCGGGTATGTGTGGACTTCAAAGATTTGAACAAAGCTAGTCCGAAAGACGACTTCTCTCTGCCGTATATCGACGAATTGGTGGACGGGACCTCACTGCAGGGCGTGCGCTGCTCTCATTTATGGATGGGTTTTCAGGTTACAACCAAATTTTGATGGCACCCGAAGACAGGAAAAAGACTTCCTTCACTATCCCGTGGGAAACCTACTGCTATAGGGTGATGCCGTTTAGTTTGAAGAATGCTGGGGCTATGTATCAACGGGCTGCGACCACGATCTTGCACGATATGATCCATAAAGAGGTTGAGGTGTACGTGGATGACATGATTGTCAAGTCCAAGGAACGAGAGGGCCACTACACTGCCTTGAAGAATTTTTTCCAAAGGATCAGAGAGTATCGGTTGCGGCTGAACCCTCAGAAATGTACTTTTGGTGTTACAGCAGGGAAAATGCTAGGGTTCTTGATCACACAAAGAGGTATCGAGGTCAATCCTTCCAAGATTAAGGCCATCTTAGAAATGCCACCACCAAGGACTGAAAAGGAGGTGCGAGGCTTTCTGGGTAAAGTGCAATTCATAAGATGGTTTATTGCAAAATTAACCTTGACTTGTGAACCACTGTTTGGTCTCTTGAAGAAAGGAAAGAAATTCCAATGGGATGACCGATGCCAAGTTGCTTTTGAGCAGATCAAGCAGTATCTACAAAACCCACCCATGTTGTCA